ATGTTCTTTGTGTGGGCCCAGCGAGCTGTCAAGCCACCTTGTATCCATTTCATTCGGAATTGCCCCTCTGGTTTCAACTTATATGCTACTGCTCCTCTCCAAAGAAGTCATCCTCCTTCTTCATCCCTGAAATTGAAGAGCACTGCATCTGTCCCCTTGTGACACTGTACTCTTCCACTGTTTATCACAAGTCCAAATTTCTCCCACTAGTCTGAATTTCATGGAAAGAAGCCGATTTGGTTTATCTGGGTCCTCAACACTCAATACAGTGTTTGGTACACAATAGGCGCTCAGAAAACAGTTGATGAAATAAAACACCAAGGATATTTGTCTCTAGAGGCTCAGCTGACTCAATCGGGAAAATTTGCCTTGGTAACCTCAGACTGGCAACACTGTAAAATATCCTTGGCAAGAAGAGGGGTTTTAAGGAGAGTGAGAAGGAAAAAAAGGTACTTAAATGGAAATATATGTATATTAGCATCAAGCACACAAAAAAATACGGAAACACCCATCTCATTCCACAAATGAGGAACCGGGTAGAGAAGGGACGTGCTTGTCTGAGCCCGGGGGCAGGGCGGTTAACCGTGGGGCCAGGTGAGAGGAAGCTTTACCGTGTTCCCAGAAGGCTTCTGCTGAAAGGTGTTATCTCCGTAAGCTTCACCGGCGAGGGCCCACCCCCACCCCGCCCAAGGGGCCGTGCGAGGAGTCAGGGCCCCGGCCAGCGGGACTCTCCCCTGGATCGTGAAGGAAGCAGATGGGGTGCGGCGGGCATGGGTGGGGGAGCCGCGCACCAGAGGCCGGAAGTAACGACAGCAGAGCAGCTAGCGCACGGAGCTCGCTTCGCGCCCGAGGGCCCCAAAGGCCGGGTGAGACAGGCTGCGCCCCGGCCCCGCCCCCTCGGGGCCCCGCCCAGGCCCGGAGGTCCAGACACAGTCCGAACAGGTCCGGAAACCTGCCCGTAGCTCCCTCCCACCTTGGGTCAGCATCCACGTCCCCAAGCACCGCCATTTCCCAAACTGCGCGAAACCGCGCGCAGGCGTAGGGAGCCTGGCCCGCCCCCAGCCGTGGCCCCGAGCGCTCCGGCGGCACAGCTTCCGGTCCCTTGACGCCTTTTCTCTAGGGGTCGCAGTCCACCCCGGGTGTAGAAGATTTGGGGCCAGGGTTCGACCGCCTACAGCCAAGAGCGATCAGGGATCTTCCCCAGACCCCACGGCGGCGCTCCAAACGCGGCCGGCGGGGACGCAAGGACACGCTTGGGGGGGCGGGGCTAGGTGGCCTCCCCACCAATCAATCGCGCGGTTGGGCCCAGCGGCCTGCCAGCTCCACCAATCACAGTCTGACGGTCCCGGGCTCCGGCTCCTAGAGAAGACCCCAGCGTCCACCTCCCCTGAGGTGCAACTTACCTGAGGAGAGGCGGGCCTCCCGGGGATGTAGCGCGCATAAAAGGACGTCTACGGTTTGGGACGAAATGGGGTAAAATAGGTAACGGGACTGCTCTCCAGGCCCTTTCTTTTCTCACCCGTGGTTAGCTATTTCACTAAGTTTTCTGAGATCATTCATCTGAAACTTAGGCTCAAAATCTCTCCCTGGAAGCCTTCTGGATCAGGTTTTCCCGCTGGACTCCACAGCGTGTTGTATTTCCTCCGTCAAAGCGCTCTCCACCCTACCGGAATTGACTGTCCTTCCACCAGACGGGGGAGGCAGCTGCTGCAGGCACTGAGCTAAGTCATTCCTCGCTCCCCAGTTCCCACCACAGACTCTGGACAGGATTATTGAAGGAATGAACTAGAATGTAGACTCAAAGTTTTGAAAAGATGAGTTTTTCCAGTGTGGTTTTAGGCAAAAAATCCGACAATCCAGAAAGTGTATTTAATAATAGGGAAAGAATATTCATTTTCTCCTGTCAAAACTTTTTTTAAAATTTATTTAAAGACAGATCCTTGCTCTGCGGCTCAGGCTGCACTGTAGTGGCGCGCTCACAGCTCATAGCTTGGAACTCGTAGGCTCAAATGATCTTCCCGCCTCGGCCTCACACAGTGCTGGGATCACAGGCATGAGCCACCACCCCGGCCTAAAACTAATTTTTTTTTTACCCCTGAACTCAGGCAGTCCTCTCACCTCTGCCTCCCAAAGTGCTAGGATTACAGGCGTGAGCCACCACACCCGGCCTACATTTTCAATGACCCCTTTTTCATTCTGATTTTTTTTTTTTTTTTTTTTTTTTGAGTTGGAGACTCGCTCTGTCCACTGCTCCCAGCCACCGCAGCCTCGACCTGCTGGGCTCCGGCAATCCTTCTGCCTCAGCCTTCCAAGTAGCTGGAATTACAGGTGTGCGCTACCATGCTCGGCTGATTTTTTGATTTATTGCAGAGATGAGTTCTCGCTGCCCAGGCGGGTCTCGAACCCACGGGCTCAGGCAATCCACTCACCTCAGCCTTCCAAAGGCGCAGGATTACAGGCTGAGCCACCGAGCCTGGCTCTGATTTTTATTTTTTAAGCCTCCTACAAATCTGACCATTCTGTCCATTACAATTGCTGGCCCTAGTGCTGGCCACTCATCCTCTCTCCCAGGATCACTGCCACAACTTTATCACTGTTCTCTGTGCTTCCTGTCTTTTTCTCCTCACTCATCATACTGCCATCTTGGTGATCTTCTAAAATTCAAATCTAGTTATGTCTCTTTCTTACTTAAAAACCTTCCCTGGCATGGCGCAGTGGCTCACACCTGTAATTCCAGCACTTTGGGAGGCTAAGGTAAGAGGATTCCTTGAGCCCAGGGGTTCAAGATCTGCCTGGGCAACATAGCAAGACTTTGTCTCTAAAAAACAACAACAAGAAATCTTCCCTGGGTCCTCCTAGATTTGGGATTACAGGCTGAACCACTGAGCCTGGCCGGGTCCTCATTTCTTATTTCTCTCAAGGTAATGTCCATCTTTCTTAGTTTGTAATTTCAAGTTCATTCTTGATCAGTCTCTGTCACTACTGCCCCCACCCAATCCCATCCTTATCCTCCAGCTATCTATCTACTCACTCTCCACATTCTCCTTACCTTCTGGGCCTTGGGTTCCCTCCAGACAGATTCTCCTCCCTCCTACTCCTATTTTCCACCAAGTGATCGTACCCCCATCACAGTTCAATGAGGAGTAGCTAGTTGGAGGGCCTGGCTCATCCATTCATTGGCACACTGCTGCCAACTAGTGGCTGTTTTCTGGACGTTTAGGTGAGAGGCAGTTTTCACCTCAACCTCTTAGGGGTTCAGAGAGAATAGATTGTTTTGGAGGGAACCCTTGACAGGGACTACTACAACAAATCTCTCTGGTAATCTGTTTCCAACATCTCCAATGACCTTTCTAAAGCAGTCTTCTGACCACATTACTCTACAGCTTAGTGCTCCCCACTGTCTCCTGATAAAACCCAAATTCCTTAACCTTGCAGTCCTTATCTCCTAATATGCACCTTCACCACCAATCTCCAGTGAAACTGATGTACTCAATAATCCCTGGACAGCTCCTTACTCTGTCTTACCCTAAAAATTTTTTTCAAGCTCCCTTCTCCTTATCTGCCTTTGGTCTCTCCACGAGATGGTCTGACGTCAAAAGACCAAATTAACTGTCACTTTCTCTGTGAAGCACTTGTTCTTTCCTTGAACTGTTACCTAACTGAACACACACTCTTTGCCAAGCTTTCGCCTAAGCTATGCAGTAACTTGGAAAGAATATGGTTTCTAGAGTAAGAAAGAGCTGATTTCAGATTCCTGCTCTGCTACTTAGCGAATAATCTTGGACAAGTAAGTCACTTCACCTTTCTGATCTTCATTTTCTTAATCTGTTGTGATATTAAGATGAAATAATATAAGTGCAATGCAGACATCAGCTGGAGTTACACCATCTTCCTTCTTCCACATGTCTCAAGAAGTTTGGTACTCACCTGCAAGGTTTCTGTGAATTCCTAGGGATCTCTTCCATTCTTAAGGTCATCTCTGATAGTTAACATCCCTTAAACCACCTGGTGCAGAGTTCCCAGCACAAGCTGTTTTCTCTCATGGAAATCAGATATTTTCTTTAGTCTCACTTTCATTCATTTACTGAGCACCTCCTGGATGCCACGGATACAGCAGCAAGAAAACAAAGATTTGCCTTCATGGAACTTAAGTTCTGTTGCAGAAAACCCAATAAACAATCAACAAATGGATAATACAAGGGGACCCAAAATAACCTGGAATTATGTTTTG